CCTCTCCGCCCCACCAGCCCCCTCCCTCCTTCCCTCCCTCCCCGCCCCCTCCCAGCCGTCCCCTCCCCGTCGGCCCGCCTGCCCAGCCTTTAGCCTCCCTCCCACCGCCTCTGTCTCCCTCTCTCCAAGAACTGCCCAGGAGTGAGCAGCTGCTTTCGGTCGGCCCGACGGACGCACGGACGCACGGACGCACGGACGCACGGACGACGGCCTGCCACCCCAGCCCGCCAACCAGCCAACCTACGCCTGGCTGCTGCCCCTCCCCAGGTAGGGCCCCAGAGCTAGCCCCGCGTCTGCCTTGCACTGTCCCTGCTGTCCCCTCGCTGGCCTCAAGCTGCCCCCACTGTCTCGCCTCTGGCTCTGCAGCCCCCTCGCCAGCCCGGAGATGCTTCCTACCAAGGCACCCTTCACCGCCACCCTGCGGCCTCCTTGGTCCTTGTCCGGTTCTGCCTCTTCTCCTACTACAGGAGTTTTCCCTTGCCCCTTCTTTTCCCTCACCTCTCTGACCTTGCTCGATTCGTCCACCTCTCGTTTCTCCGCCTCCCCCTCGGGACCCTTCCCTCGGCTGCCACCCCAGAGCACGGCTGGGTGGCTGGCACCTCGGCTTTGCCAACAGCCCCGTCCCATCACTGCAAGTCCCAGATGCACCCTCAAGTCCCGCCAGCCTCGCTCTGCCCAGGCGCCTCCTTGCTCTGAGCTTGGCGCCAGGCCCGGGCTGGGGCGACCGCAGAGTGCCCGCCGAGCTCAGCACCGGCGATCAGGCCCCCGCTGCCCCGGGCTATCCTTGGCGTGGCTGACGGACTTGGTTTCCCAGGCACACCCCAGGCACCCTGCCCAGATAGTCTTTGCTCACCCCTAGGCCAATGCCCTGCCTCTACTTCCTCCCTGGTGAGGTGTGAGTCCACAGAGCTCGGCTGCAGGGGCCCTGGGTGGGGCTGCCTGAGAGACTCAGCCCTCTCTGTCCCAGGAAGTCCCTTGGACTGGGACTCAGGATGGGGGGGAAGGGAATCAGGCCATTGTGCCATGTTCCCCAGGGCAGACCTGGCTTGGGGCACCTGGAGTCCTGCCAAGGGACCCAAGAGAGGGAGCAAGGGAGAAGGAAGCCATCTGGGTGTCCATGGAGAGCCCTGGAAGACTGGGGGAGGAAGCGACCCTCACTGCTCCAGGGTGGGGCTGGCTGCCCATGCACCAGCTGAGCAGAGCAGGGCCAGGGTCTCGTAGGGAGGGGCTGGCTGGTAGTGCTCCGGCAGGGAGCTTGTTTTCCAGCAGTCTGGGCAGGCAGACCACCCTCTTCCTTCCTGGCCAGCCAGGCCACTCAAGCTCTGTCGTCAGGGCTCCTGCCCCTGCGCCCCTGCCCCTCCCTGGCCCAGCTGGAGATGCTTGGGGCCTCCCTCAAGGCATCCAGGGGTACAGGTGAGTGCCTCCTGGTGAGTTGTAGCCGCCCGTGCCAACGGCGCCCTGGGAGAGTGGCACATGGGCAGAGGCGCCTTTGTGTGGCACGTGCCCACGTGTGGCTACTGTGCGCCAGTGTGAGCGAGTCTTGGTGGGCAGGCCTGTGTGGATATGTCGAGAGGAAGACACAGAGCTTCCAGGCCACCGGGACTGGGTGGTGGGAGCAGGCTCTGAGCAGGGGAGCTGCTGCTGGGGGTGGCCTTGGCCTCCCCGGTCCACGGTCAAGCCCTAAGGACCCAGGTCACACTGCTTCTGTGTCCTGCCCTGTACAAGGTGCAGCGTCCCTGCTGCATAGATGGGGAATCCTAGGCCCAGCCCCTGAACACCAGTTCTGCACCAGCTTGTTTTAGAGGCCCGGAGAGTCAGGGTACCAGCCCCCCGACCATCCTGCAGGGGTAACTGACCAGCATCGGCCCAGACCCCTCCCCAAGTTCCAGCAGCCTGCGGCTGCCAGAGGTCAAAAGTGGGGAAGGCTAGAAGGAAAGGGGATGTTTCCAAGGCAAGAAAGAGCTTCCTGTCTTTTACAACATTCCACAGTCACTCAAACAAGGCCACAGCGTATCCCTTCCAGTGACAACATCATGTCTCCAGAGGAGGGACTTGTAAGAGTCCACACTTGACAGTTGGCACCTGGAGCCCTCTGACAGGGCTTCTGATTCCTTGGCACCCTGTGCAGGGTGGGTGCGAACAGGAATCCCCCCACCTCCCCTGCTTTCTGGGCCCAGCCCCACCACCCCTAGCCTGTCCCAGAGGTCACACTCTGCCCCTGGCAAGGCCCCAGCCCCAGGCCCTCTGATGCCCCTCCTGTGGGGCCCTCACCGTCCTGCTCACCCGCAAGCCCCCGGTTGTTAGAAAGATCTTCCCACGCCCACCACGACCCCTCCCACTCCGAATCGCTTACCCCAGGTTGGGAGAGCTTGGCCCCGCCCTGAGCTGCCTCCACCCAGCCTCCGAGCCCCCCTTCCCCGAGCCCCGACAGCCCAGCAGCCTCACTGGCAGGGGAGGGGCGCCCAGCTATCAGTCTTTGCTCCCACTGAGGGTGGGGGCAAAGGTGGCTTTCTCCGGCACCCTGCCGTGGGTGGAGGGTGCGGGGTGGGCACGGGCTCCCTCATGAGGCAAGTCAGCCTGGGGTCCTGCCGGCTCCGGCCCTGGTCCGCTGGGTGAGGCTTGGGGTGTCAGTGCCCCCCATCTTCTTCTGCTCGGACACCGGCTGGGAGACATCAGGGGCCACATCTCGGCCACCCACAGAGCCCTCTCTGCCAATCTTAGAGGGACCCGTGGGGGCATGCGTGGGGCTGTGCTGAGGAGGGACACAAGGGTCAGTGCTGCTCCTGGTCAGAGGCCCGCCTAGCCAAACAGGCCTGTGGGACCCACAACCAGGCCCTTCTCCAGCCTTCCAGAAAGAACCAGCTTCGCGGTGCTCTCTGGGGAAGGTCTGGGGCTCCCTCAGCCTGCCCTGGGGATGGAAGCTGGGCTTTATCTCCCTTCCCCTGCCCCAACCTGGAGCCCATACCCAGCATCCCCCCACCCCGGGCCTCCTTCAACACCTCTGGGACTCCAGGTTCCTGGAACCCCCCAGCCTTCCCCCCCCCCGCCACCGTTTGCCTTCTTTCCCCACCCCTCAAGGCTCTTGGCTGGGGCAGACCCTGCGGTGGCCATGAAGGGGGCCCAGCCTCAGCTCTCCCAGACGCCACAGCGGGCACCTCCCTCCCTCCTCCTCCCCCTCCCCTCCTTGCTTCCCACCTGCTCCCCTCCAATCCCAGCCTGCGGAGCGAGTCAGCTCTCTGCTCATTGGCTGGCCAGAGCCGCTGACATTCCCAGGCTCCGTGAAGGGCGCCGCCCCTCCCTGTGGTGGCGCGTCTCTCAGGTTTAGGGACCAGGGGCTCTAGCCAGCCTTTTTGCAACAAACTCTCCCCGTCCGTGGCATCTCAAAACGGAGCTCAACGTGGACTGAGCCAGAGAAGGGGCCCGGCCTGGACTCTGTGGGACTCTTGAACTTGTGCCCTGCCTCTCGACAGACTGCTGGGAACCCCAGCCCTGCTTGATCTCTGGAAGAGTCAGATGGCCAAGGGGGACAGAGTAGGCAGAGGCTGAGGGGCCACAGGGTTAGGGATTTTTGTGGACGGAAGTCAGACTTGAAGGAGAGGGGCAGAGGGCAAGCCCTGTCCCTGGAGACAGGGAAAGTCCGGGAGGCCAGTGCGGCTTTTATCCTCTCGAAATCTGTGTCCCTGCGTGGCTTGATTGCCATCCCATGAGCCCTGGAGGCTTCCCTCTTGCAAGGAGGCACACGACTGCGGGAAGAGGGCTAGACCCCAGCCAGAGAGTGGGACTGGTGCTAGAGCAGGAAGTCAAATCCTCTCCTTCCCTCCCTGAGACTCTCCTGCAGGGGGCGGGGCTGAGCCCCATGGCATTGTCCGAGCTGGACCCAGCAAGGGAGGCAGGCTTAGCCCATCTCCCCTGGGTCCCTGAAGTGCTTGCTGGCAGCTCCTTGACCTTCAAGCTGATGGCTTTTCTGGGTGATTTCCTGCAAGCACAGGCAGAGGCAGAAGGGGCAGGGCTGGGGTGGGGCCTGTGGCTCTGTGGGCGGTGGGGAGCCATGGATGGTGGCAGCCAGAGAGAAGTGCCATGTAACCACCTGGCGTGGGGAAGCTGTCCAGGAGTCCTCTCCCACAGCCCTGGAAGCTGTTTGAGCCCACTGCACCACCCAGGGAAAGGGAGACATTTCGACTTTGGGACCTGCAGCTGTGTCTGCAGTGGCAGAGGGTATGTCCAGACACACTGGTAGGTAGACAGACAGGCCAGGCAATGGAGTCCCAGCTCACTGTTTCCTCACTGTGGGCCTTGAGTTCTGAGCCAACTCTCTGAGCCTCAGTTTACCCCTTCATCAAGTGGTTAAAGCGTCGCTTTCTTCTTATGACTGCAGGGAGTGGGAAGCTAGGTAAAGAAATCACTTGAGCCCCTTGCCCCACTCCTGGGAGGTGACAGCATCCTCCCTCTTCCTTGAACATTCTAGCAAATGGCCAGTAGGAGCCCAGGATTTCCTCAGTGAGTGGGAAGAGGAGGCATGGTATGCAGCCCAGGTGTGGGGACAAGGAGACCCTGGAGCCCCAGCCGCCAGGCTTATCCATTGCCTGACTCCCTTCCAGAAGTTTCCTGGCAGGAAGTTTCAGGAGACAGGAGTGGGAAGGTCTCTCTTGATTCACCCAGCTACCTCGACACCTCCTCAGTGCCAGCCCTCTGCATCCTCTGACACCTACGCCCAGGTCCAGCCTGTCTCCCGAGTCTGCCGGAGGGCATACTGAGGCAATGGCAGGGGTTCGCGGTGTGCCCAGGGGCAGACGGGGTGGTACTCTAGTCCACGCCTCCCCATTGCAGCCCCTGGCCCCTCGGGCAGCATCCCCACATATGCATGCACATCTGCAGGCTTGGGCAGAGTCCTGGAAGGCTCACAGTCGATCTCTCTGGTTGACAACCAAGTGCAGGCTGGCGCCATCAGGGGGGCGGGGCACTGGGGCCTGGGAGGGCAGCAGGGGGCACGCCGGGTGTCAGCCAGGGCACGAGTGCCTGCCTGCTGGGCCCGGAGGGCTTCGGTGGCCCAGAGAAGGAAGGCTGGGCGCAGTCCCAGGACCCTGCCGGGCTGGGGGAAAGTGGCACGTGTGTCAGAGTTCAGGTCGGGTTGCTCCGCAGGGCCACATGCCCCGGGCTGAGGCCGCTCAGACAGTGCCCGGCGTCGGCTCCTTGGCAGCTGCGAGTCACACATCTGCAGGCGAGCTCTGGGCCCGCCAGACCTCAAGTCGCGCTCCCGCCGCCCTTGGCCTGGCCTGAATGCCTGGCACGGCCTCTCCATGTTCTCAGAGGCTGCCAACGCGTCTTGTTTGGCTACGACCTGGAGCAATCCTGCACGGAGCACTGCGCTGGCTTTCAGAGGGCAGACAAGGAGGGCCCTATTAGGGTGGTGGCGGAGGCTCCAGGAAGCCCGCCTCTTCCCTTGCTCACACCTGTGGTCACCGGCCTGAGGCGGCGGCATCCAAGGAGCTCAGAGCTCACTTTGACGTGGCTTGAGGCCCTTCCTGACGTGATTGGGGTCACACCCAGGGAGGCCAATGAAGGGAAACTGAGGCCCAGAGGCCATGACGGTGGTGGGGAGGTGAAGCAGAAGGGGCTTGCTGCGGGTGTCACAGCATCTGTCCATGGGGTACTCCTCCTGTGTGTGTGTGTATGTGTGTGTGTGTGTGTGCGTGTGCTCATGCACACACACACATGCAATGGCGGGAAGAAAGGGCTTGGTGTGATGTGGTGGAGAGAAGGCAGAACCGGGCTGGTGGAGGAGAGCTGGGCCTACATACAGCAAACCCCCATCCCCCAACCAGACACGAGCCAGCCAGGCCCACGGCCCCCTGCCCCTCCCTCTCCACCCCACCGAGGCCGAGGAGCACGGCTGAATGCTCAGGGTCTGGAGTCCCGGAGCCGGGTTCCACGTATCAGGCTGAGTGACCTGGGGAAGTCAGTTCCTCTCTCGGGGCCTCCATGTTTTCATCTGTAAAATGAGGCTGCTAATTGTGCTGGCCACAGCGGAGCCTTCCTTCTGGGCTCCTCTGGCTCCCTCTGGCTCTGTGGGGGTCCCTGCCACCTCCTGTGGGCTGTGTGTCTGAGCTTTGTGCCAGTTCTCTGAGGGGAAGTGAGGGCTGTACCGGGAAGCCTGCCCGGCCTGCTAACCCTCCAGCTGCCCACAGCTTGGGCCCAGCCGTGAGCCACGGAAAGGAGCCCAACCCTGTCCTTCTGCCTCTGTTACGGGACCCTGGTGTATGGACCTCCTTCCCCTCGCCCCTCTCCCAGCCCCTTGGGGGCTCCCACACTGACACCTCCATCAGGCAAGCTGCTCTGAACTGGTTCACTTCTCCCAGAGCCCCTGTTCCCCCGGAAAGGGTCCCAGTAGCCCGCCCGGGGCTCCAATGGCCGATCTCACCCTGGCTGGCCTCCCAAGCCCCTTTCTGTCCCCTCCGCTGAGGCCTCTGAGGCTTGGAGCTTGGGCTCCCCGTGGAGACCTCCTCCAGGCCAGTGACTGCTCCTCGTCCCCCCAGCCCTCCCCAGTCCCAAGAGGCCTCTCCCCACAGCCTCCCCTGAGCTTAGTCAGACCACCCCACTCCACCCCCACCTGTTCAGGTGGACTCTGAGTCCCAGAGCCTTCCAGGGCTCCACTGGGTGTTCCAGCCTGACTCATTCCCCCTGTGAGGCAGCGGCTTTGGCAGGGACATCGCAGGGAGGGGCGGGCAGTCTCCTCCCTCCCTCCCATCCATCCTTCTCTCCTGCCTTCATCCTGTCCTTCCTGCTCTCTCCCTCTGCTCCTCCTCCTGGCTGTGGGGTGTCCGGCAGCACCTGGGCCAGGACCCGCAGCGGCAGCAGGCACGGTAGGCCCTGCCCTGCTCTCTTGGAGGCTGCTGAGAGGAAGCAGGGAGCGCTGTCCAGGTAGGCAAGCATGGGGCCTTCTGCATACTCTGGGCCCAGACCCGGCTGGGGGCGCCTCTGGGTCCTGCTGGGCCGGCCTAGGGCTGGGGGTCCCTGGCATCTTGAGGAGCAAGTTAGGCTGGGCTCTGAACCCAGCCTTGCAGTGCAGCTAGGTTCAGGAGGGTTTGGGGCCTGCTTGGGGAGCTCTGGGGCCGGCTCCACAAGGCCCCACTACAGAAAGACTGCACCCCGGTCCCGTCCCGGAAGCAGCTCCAGCCTCTCCGCAGGCCCCTCAGTCCACAGGGGTGGACAGGGCCAGCCAGGGGAATGTAGGCTAGGGGGTGCCCCCTGGGAACCTGGGGAGCCACGCAGGAATGGCAGGACAGGCCTACATCAGCCTTCTCCTGGGATTGATGGGAACTGGGGGTACAGTGGTTGCCTGACCCAACCAGGCCTGGGCCTGCTGGGTTCTAAGTCATCGCCTCCCCAGCCAAGATGAGGGGGGCCTAAGTGAGGGCCTCCTTGAGGTGGGACTAGGTGGTGCTCCACTGGGCTCCAGAGATGCACCTAGGGCAACCCCGGCCAAGCAAGCTCAGGAAGTGAGTGAAGCAGGCAGGATTAGCCCCATTTCACAGATGCACCTAGGGCAACCCCGGCCAAGCAAGCTCAGGAAGTGAGTGAAGCAGGCAGGATTAGCCCCATTTCACAGACAGGAAAAGTGAGGCAGGGATAAAACCTGGGCAGATGGGGCAGTGGGAGAGGCGGGGGCTCTGGCCTTTTCCACAGGGTGCATTCCAGGCTACGTGCAGACTAACCTCTGGCCGGGGGCCACGTCTGATGAGGAAGATGGCGGCCAGCTGATGTGGGTGCCTGAGGCAGGCTCAGGCAGGGCAGCTTCCCTTCCCCCCGTCCCGCTGCTGCAGCCTGGGGGGCCACTAGACAAGCCTGACCCTGCCCTGCCACACTGGCGGCAGCCTTCTCCCCAGGGGGCCTCTCCAGGGCGCCAGGCTGAGGGCATGAAGGCAGGCAGGAGCGGAACTGGGAGCCCGGGGCTTCCTGGGCCAAGGCAGGAGGAGGCCCCAGGGAGCAACGGGGAGGGAGGACAGACAGGGCGCCGTGCCCCTCCTTCTCTGGGACAACCACCCAGAGCTGCCCCAGCCATTTTGCCCGTGGCCTCAAAGGATGCCTTCTTTTCCCCATCCTGCCTCCGCTTTCTTGACCTCTAGACTTTCTTAGGGAAATGCGGACAGGGTGGAGGGGCCTCCGGCAGGAGCCAAGCGACTCCTCCTCAACTAACTCAGCTCACCCCTTCCACATTGCCGGGAGCCCAGAATTCTCAGGAGGGATTGGCCCAGGCAGGCAGCCTCGGTGGTATCCTCACAACGGAATTCTTCAAAGCCTGCGGGGCGTTGGCAGGGTTGCCCCCTCCGCCCCCTCCACTCAGCCTCCCTGACCCCCACCCGCAAGACAGGCTGCCGGCTGACTCAGCGGCGTGGGGGGCTGCAGACTCTCTAAGTGCCCTGTTTGGGAGGGAGGGAGCAGAAGGATGCGTTCTCCGGGCCGTGAGTGCGCTCCCTCCTGCCTGCAGCCTCAGCCCAGGGCGTGGTGGTCCCTGGTAAGGGATGGGGACGCAGTGCCAACACACACAGCTCCAGCCTCGGGTTGGGAAAATGCGCGAGAGCTGGCGCTGACGGATGACCCTCGCCGCTGTCCCAGGCACGTCGACCATGCGGCCCCTGTGGCTCCTCATGACCCTGCTGGCCCTGAGCCAGGCCCTGCCCTTTGAGCAGAAGGGCTTCTGGGACTTCACCCTGGATGACGGGCTGCTCATGATAAACGACGAGGAGGAGGCTTCAGGCGCCGACACGACCTCGGGCGTCCCGGACCTGGACTCCCTTCCGCCCACCTTCAGCGCCATGTGTCCTTTCGGCTGCCACTGCCACCTGCGAGTTGTTCAGTGCTCCGACCTGGGTCCGTCCCCGGGCGGTGGGGTGGGTTGTGCGGGGAGCCCCAGCTCCTTCCAAGGAGGCCATGTGTCTGTCCCCTGGGAAAGTGGGGTGGGGACGGGGAGAGCCCGAGCGGGCTTGGGGTCATGATGTGAGTGTGCAGGTGTCCAGCTGTCCGTCTGCAAACCCCGGAGCTTGTGCCCATCTGTGGCGGGAGCCCTGTGTTATGTTGGTGTCCCTGTGCATGTGTGTCCCTGGCCCTCTGCGGGGCTAGAAGGCTGGGTAGCCCCAGGCTCGTGCTGGTAACGGTGGTGCTGGCCCCCAGGTCTGAAGTCTGTGCCCAAAGAGATCTCGCCTGACACCACGCTGCTGGACCTGCAGAACAATGACATAACCGAGCTCCGTAAGGATGACTTCAAGGGCCTCCACCACCTCTATGTAAGCGCCTGGCCTCCCAGCCTCCCAGTCCCTTCTGCAGCTGGGGGTGTGGGCACAGATGGGTGAGGTGCGGGAGGGGTCCAGGGGCTCACGGAGTTCCTTTTCATTTTATTTTATTTTACTTTTTTTGAGTTGGAGTCTCACTCTGCCTCCCAGACTGGAGTGCAGTGGGCTCTGGCGATCCTTCCGCCTCAGCCTTCCAAGGAGCTGGAACTACAGGCGCACACTACCACACCCGGCTCATTTTTCATTTATTGTAGAGATGAGGTCTCGCCAAGTTGCCCAGGCGGGTCTCGAACCCGCGGGCTCAGGCAATCCGCTCACCTCAGCCTCCCAAAGCGCGGGATTACAGGCTGAGCCACAGAGCCCAGTTTCATTTTATTTTTTAAGAGACAGGGTCTTGCTCTGTCACCCAGGCGAGATCGCAGTGGTGCGATCATAGCTCACTGAACCTCAACCTCCTGGGCTCAAGTGATCCTCCCACCTTAGCCTCCCCAGTAGCTGGGACTACAGGCATATGCCACCACACCCAGATATTTTTAAAATTTGTTTGTAGAGACAGGCTCTTGCTATGCTGTCCAGGCTGGTCTTAGACTCCTAGGCTCAAGCATTCCTCCGGCCTTGGCTTCCCAAAGTGCTGAGATCACCGATGTGTACCACCGCACCCGCCTAGTTTTTTAAAATTTTTTTGGAGACAGGGTCTTGCTATGTTGCCCAGGCTGATCTCAAACTTCTAGGCTCAAGCAATCATCCCACTTTGGCCTCCCAAAGCACTGAGAACGCAGGCATGAGCCACCATGCCCAGCCAACCCACGGAGTTCTGAGAGAAGTCTGGAGCCGGCTGGGTGGCTCACACACCATAGGTGCAGGGTGGGCTCGCTCAGCTCAGTGCCTTTTTTTGACTGAAAGCGTTCTACCGCATTGGTTCCTCCCAGCCACACTGGAGAACAGATTACATTTTAGGCAGTGTGCGTGCGGGGAAACTGAGACACGGGGTGGTGGTGGGCTGCTCTAGGCAGCAGTGGCATTGCTGGGGCTCCCACTCTGGGCTTGGCCTGCAAGCACAGACAGACCCCTCAAGGCTGAGCCTGCGCAGGCATCTCTGACACGCCATCGGTAGCCAGCCCAGGGGCAGAGGAGGAAAGCAGAGAGGGGCAAAGGGGTGGGAGCTGGCCCCTTCACCCGCCACCCACCCTGCCTCAGGCCCTCGTCCTGGTGAACAACAAGATCTCCAAGATTCACGAGAAGGCCTTCAGCCCGCTGCGAAAGCTGCAGAAACTGTACATCTCCAAGAACCACCTGGTGGAGATCCCACCCAGCCTGCCCAGCTCACTGGTAGAGCTCCGTATCCATGACAACCGCATCCGCAAGGTGCCCAAGGGCGTGTTCAGCGGGCTCCGGAGCATGAACTGCATCGGTGAGGAGCCTGCGGGCCTCATGGAATGTTCTGGAGGCTTGTCTCAGGGCCTGGGGAGGGAGACCCAAGGACAGCTTTCAAGGTTCAATTCTAGAGTCTCTTGAAAATAGTCGAAAGAAAGTCAAGGTATTTCTCGGGCTGGACTGAGGGACCGGGTGACTTTGGGGAGCCCCATCTTCATCGCTGGCACTCCTCCCTTCCCTCTTGTCCCCACCCTGCCCCTGGAGGCTGGTGCCAGGACCAGGGCCCCTGGGGCCGGTGGTCTTAGGCAGCTAGGAGTTTGCAGCTAGCCTGGTAAGTGAGCAGAACTGCTTTCAGGAGGGGAAGAGGGAGCCCGGTGTTGGGCAGGGCCCACCAGGCAAGCAGGAAGCCCGCAGGCCCCAGGCAGTGCAGGGCAGCCACCCAGCTCTGGCTCCGGGGCTGATGAGGCCTCTCTCCTAGAGATGGGTGGGAACCCCCTGGAGAACAGCGGCTTTGAACCCGGAGCCTTCGATGGCCTGAAGCTCAACTACCTGCGCATATCAGAGGCCAAGCTCACCGGGATCCCCAAAGGTAGGAGGACTGCCCTTCCTGCCCACCCTGCCTCACCTGCATGGGCAGAGACGGGCAGACCTGAGCACCCCTCCCCCACCCAGGGCACTCAGGGAAGGCCTCGGCAGTCTGTCCCACCACTGGGGCGGAACCTGGGCCTCTGCCTCCCCGCCCAACCTTCCCGTGCATAGGCTCAACTCAGGGCGCATCCTCTGTTCCGAGCAGACCTCCCGGAGACCCTGAATGAACTCCATCTGGACCACAACAAGATCCAGGCCATCGAGCTCGAAGACCTGCTCCGCTACTCCAAGCTGTACAGGTGGGGCCAGCAGGGCGCAGCCCCGGGGTGTGTCGGCCCACCCCACTGCCCTCCCTCCCTCCAGACTCTGAGGCCGTGTCATTTGCCCGCTCGCAGGCTGGGCCTGGGCCACAACCAGATCCGGATGATCGAGAACGGGAGCCTGAGCTTCCTGCCCACCCTGCGGGAGCTGCATCTGGACAACAACAAGCTGTCCAGGGTGCCTGCTGGGCTCCCAGACCTCAAGCTCCTCCAGGTGAGGACCAGCGGGGCTGCCAGTGCCCTGAGGCCGGGCTAGCCCTCGGCCCCCTGCCTTCTCCGAGGCAGGTGGCCAGGGCTTGTGATGGATGAACGAGAGGTGGCTGTGCCAACCTGGAGCTGAGGGTCTTGTGGACCCAGGCATGGCCTGGGGGCTCGGGAGCAGTCTGGACATGGGCTTGCACAGATCTGTGCCAAGACGGGGGCAGCCTTGCCCTGGGCTGCATGTCTTCCTCAGCAGTCACGCTTGCTAGGAGCGCCCCTGGCCCCACCAGCTGTGCAGACAGCGCCAATCCTGGCGGTGCCCATGCTGAACTGAGAGCGCCCTCTAGCGGCCGGCATCCTCTCCGCCAACACTCGTTCCCTCTGCTCCGCCCAGAGCCAGCAGCTCTGGGGACTTGGGGGACGCTGCCACGAGAGAGTGCCCTGGAGACTGGGAGGAAGAGGAGGGCACCCCGAAGGCTCTTTCTCCCCTTGTTCCCCATGTGTCTCTAGAGGGTCAGGATGCTCCCCTGGGGGCGGAGCTGGAGCCGGCCCAGAGGGAGGACTAGGGCCCATCGGTGAAGCCAAAGTCCTGCATAGACACGGTGTTGGGATTCATGTTAGCTTCCCACAGCCTCAGTCCACCAAACGCACCCCCACGCCACCCTCACTCTCCCCTCTACCGCCACATGGCCCCCATCTCCCACCCCACCCAAGACCCTCACCTTGGTCCTCGGTCACACACATGGACCTTAATCCTGGCCAACCCCCACCCGACAAACACATCCGCTCCTCAGTTTGCTCCTCCCATCGATGAGGAGAAGCCTGTCCTGGCCCTCCAAGGGGTGTGTGTGGATGTGTTGAGATGAAATCCTCCTCATCCCTCCCCCTCATGCAATGGACTCAACATGGGTGGAGCCGGTCCCCTCCTGCCTCTGCCTACACCTGGCCTGCAGTCAGCCCAGGCAGGGTGGCCTGAGGTGACGGCCCCTCTGCCCCCAGGTGGTCTATCTACACTCCAACAATATCACCAAGGTGGGCGTCAACGACTTCTGCCCCGTGGGCTTCGGGGTCAAGCGGGCTTACTACAACGGCATCAGCCTCTTCAACAACCCCGTGCCGTACTGGGAGGTGCAGCCTGCTACCTTCCGCTGCGTCACCGACCGCCTAGCCATCCAGTTCGGCAACTACAAAAAGTAGAGCCTGCTGCAGCCATCATGGTGGCCCCTGTGGGGGTCCCCACAGAGCACAGCCAGCTGTCCCTATGGGGAGACGAAGCAAGGAAGCCAAGCCTGTGCCCAGCTGCATCCAGCCAGCCACCACCTTGGGTCCCTGGCCCCAACTCGATGCCCATCACGGCCTCTCCCTGGCTCCCATGTGTGTAGTGGGCCCAAGGCCCAGCCCCCATCACACGCCCCTCGGCTTCTGAGTTGCCCCTGCTCACCCACTACAGCCACCTGGAACACCCATCAACTCCTTTGTCCTTCACCTCACAAGCCACCTTCCGAGGCCCCATGGGCCTGTGGGCGGGAGGGGGACGGCCAGGACCCACACCTGTCCAGCCACACGTTCCTCCGCCACCTCCTCTTCCAGCTGCCCAGTCCTTCCTGCCCCCCCTGCTCCCCTTCACCTTCTGTGCCCCGCAAGTTCATAGCCAGTCTCCCCACCTCCATATCTCTCTGTCTTTCTCTGTCTGTCTCTCTCCCTCCCTTCATCCCGCTCTCTGCCTGTCTCTCTTTCCTCTCTGTGTCTGTCTTCTGCATCCTCAGGTCTTTCTGCCTTCTGGGCTTGGTGACCTGTCTCTGCTCCTTCTGGACCTGGCATCTCTCTCTCCCTCTCTTTCTCTCTCTCTCTCTGTCTCTCTCTCTCTACATACACACACACACACACACACACACACACACACACACACACACACACACAGACACACAGACACACACACACACTGCCCTTCTGCCTTGGGCTGGGTCTGCTTTCTGGCTGACTGGCCTCTGCCCAGTCCCTGCCCAAGCAAGCCGGAGGCAACTGCCTCCCGGCACACAGTGTGCCTCCCAGTCTGCCCTGCCCAGGCCTTGTCCCCAAGCCTGACAGTCCTGGCGGAGGCTCGGAGGGGGAGACCTGGGGTGGCCACACTCCACCAGCAAGAGTGGAGCCTCAGGCCTGTCAGATCTAGGACTTTCTACCCCTGGAAGAGGTCCAGCCTCCGCCAGCGTCCCCAGTGCTGATTGTCATTGGACCCCTCCCCACGGTGGCTAGGTCTCCCTCGCTTGCCTTCTGGTCCCAGCTGAGGAGGAGCTTCTGAGGTCGGTGGTTGTCTTTCAATTAAAGAAACACTGTGCAATATGGTTGTATGGACTGTCGCTCCTGGGCATCCCTGGGAACCGGGACCAGCCCCCTGGCCGTCCCCAGGCTCTACCTCTTCGGGGTCCTGTCACCCTCAGGTCTGGGACTAGACAAGGAGACCCCAAGTGACCAGGCTGGCCCCACCCCTTCCTCCAAGGCACTTCCATTGTTCCAGCTGTCCTGAGGCTGGGCTTTAGAAGCAGACCAGGCCTGAGGTGGTACCTGTCCCCTCAGAATGCAGCATTTGCCAAGAACATGTCAGCCACAGGGCACCAGGCTAGACCCCTCCCACCAAGAGGAGGGCCGGAAATCTCAGAAGAGCCCACCTGCCTGCCTCGATAGAGTCCAGGGGCTCAGAAGAGTGCCAGTGCCAACCCTGGGGGTGAGACAGAGGTCACGCTGTGTGTCAGTAGAACCAAGCTCAGGATCCAGGTCAGGGCCAGGGAAGCCTGCTCACTAGGGACACAGGTCTGCCCCAGAAAGGGCAGCATCAGGGGGACAGTCCCCAGGGCAATGCCCTTTGCGTGAACGGCCTCAACTCAGGTGGTGGCAGCTGGGGCTGCCCTGGCTAGTCAGGGGCTGCCAACAAAATAGAACGGGCAGGGCCCACCGTGAGTAATGGCCCAGGGGAGATGGAGCCCAGAGGCACAAACTGTGCCCTATGCCTGGCCTGGCACTGGGGCACCCGGCGTCCCCAGATTTCTCCTTTTGGGGATGGGAGGTGCTGCTTAGTGAGATGGCCCAGTGATAGAATATCACCCGTTGGCATCATCGTACTGTTCTGGGGCATGTGCTCCACAGTTCGCCAATCTCTGCTGAGCTGTGCAGACACAGGACAGGGGTGCTGGCCAGGAGCCAGGAGTCAGGGCCTCTATCAAGTCCCCTCACTGGCCAGGGGGAGGGGTGGCCAGCACCAGGGCCTGACAGAGACAGAGAGATGGAGCCTTCCCCTGTGAGTCTGTGGGTGGTCTGGGGCACTGAGTCCTCATGCTGTGGGTCCAACACAGCCCCCTGGGTCCCCGTCTTCTCTTCCTCCTTCCCTCCCTGACTTCCTCTGTCTCCCTCATTTCACATGCCCTCACCAAGCCCATCCTCTGTATGTCCCGGCTCGGGGACGCAGTGCGGGTGCAGGCACCGTGACAACTCGCGGGACAAGCACGGTGCAGGCGGTAGGTGCAGAGGAGAGCGTCCCAAGGGCTGGCCGTTCAGCCCTCCCACCTTCCGACCGGGCCAGCATAGGGAGCCACCCTCACCGGAGCCGAGAAGAGGATGGGGCCACCTGCGAGGGCTGATGGGTCACCAGAGGAGGTGGGCTCCTTGCTCAGAGCAGGTGTCCTGCCACAGTGTGAACGTGAACCACTCAGCCTCACTTTACTAACAAGTGTGTGGCAAACTATGAGGTCATCACCATCATGAAGCTGAGACAGACTGGGCTGTAAAACCCAGAGACGTGAAGGCACTGCTGCACACTGACAGCCCCATGTTCAAGTTTAGGTGATCTGGATAGCGAATCTGCTCAGGGTCTGGCTGTGGAGATGGACATCTGGGGGCCAAGCCGCAGGGCACGGGGAGCGTGTATTTGAGCTGTGTGCCCTGGGCTGGAAACAGGCACAGAGGACAGCATCCAGCCATTCTTGTTTGAGGAGGAGCCCTGGGCTTGGTGACAATGAGGGTGCAGGGTTTGGGCAGGACTGCCAGGTTGCATGTGGGAAGGTGTCCTGAGGCCCTGGTGGGGCAAGGCCTGGGAGCAGAAGGGGTCACAAAGAACGCACCTGGGACCAGGAGAACTCCAGCGCAGTCAGAAGGCAGTGGGCGCAGGCTTGTGCACATGGATTCAGACACACATGACACACGCACACAGAAACACACATGAATACACAGAAACACATGAACACAGAAACACATGCATACACAAATACACAGAAACACTTGAACACAGAAACACACAGAAACACATGAATACACAAATACACATAAACACAGAGAAACACATCCACACACACATGCACACACAAACACACATGTAAGCGCACGCACACATAGACACTCAAAACACGTGTGCACACACAAACATGCAAGCACACAGAAACACACATGCACACAAATGCAAACACAAACACACACGTGTGCACACAAGAACACACACAGGTGCACATGCACACACACACAGCCATGGACGTCACGGAGCAGTTGGCGGAGGGAAGGTTGGCCTGCGAGAGGGGGCCAAGGAGCAGGCTTGAGGGGCGTGGTTGGAGTGGGGGCTGGTCCCAGCACCGGCCGGGTCAGGTGCCTCCTGGATGTGGCAGGGCCCAGCTGGAGCCTAAGCCGAAGCCACTGCTCGGGTTTAGGCAGGCCAGGGCTTGTCAAGGGCAGTCGGCCAGGCATCTTCAGGCCAGGGCCAGCGGGCAGGGTCCCTGAGGGAGACACCCCCCGCTTGAAGGGCCTGTGCGGGCAGGTGGAGTCTGCTCTGAGGACCGGGGGTGGCGTCCATCCGTCGCCAGCACCCCTGCTGGTCTCCGTGTTCTGCCCCCGTGGGCTCCAGGCTCTAGTCTCAGGAGGTCAGAGGCTGCAAGGAGAGGCAAAACCCCTTCCCTGTGTACACGTGGGACAGGGCACCATAGCCAGCAGAGTGCCCTTGTCTCCCTGGGCTTCCAGGAAGGCATGACCTCTCTGGGGCCCTGGAGAGCCCGGGCAGCCTGGGTGCTGAAAAGCCCTGGTGCCAGCTGCACAAGGGATGACCAGGCCAGTAGTAGTGCCCAGGGGACTGAGCTGGCCCCTGAGGCTGGAGCTGTGCCAGCAGGAGGAGTTGTGCTCAAAGAGCCATCACACACACACACACACACACACACACACACACACACACACACACACACCC